CAAATATACATCTCTCCTATTATTCTTACCTGAGAAGGAGTCAAAGGCAGTGATAGATGCTAAAAAGATATCAATCGGAAGACAAAAATCATCAGCACTAGGAAAAGGGTAACTTTCTTTCCTCACTCCCATATAAAGACCTCTTGATATTTTCTGGAATTGGGATTTACATTTTAGTGATTTTGGGCAGTGTCTTTAAGCCTTTTCCTAGGAGTCGAACTCCTAACTCGTGTGGCTTTGTTGTTTTGTTTATTCAAAAAATCCCCCAGAAAGTGCACTACAGAATAACACAGAATTTGTGGCAGTAAGAATCTTTAAAAAAAAATTGTGGAAAGTGGCTGAGATTGGGCATGTGTCACTGAGCTGAAAAATACACAACGCTGACAACACTGCTGGTTTCAAGTGCGACTTCCACCACCGAGCTGTGGGCTGGTAACAAATTTTCTACTGTCCCCAAAGTCTCAGTGTGACTACTTCTGACATGGTACTTCTCTCTGAGCAGCTGTATGGCCCCTGCTGGAGACAACTATGTTCTCCTACTGGGTGGGTCTGAGCCCTGCTGCCCACACTGCCACAGATGCAGCAGGTAAACAGCACAGACCACATTCTTTGTGCTTCCAAGTCACACGGTGTGAGTCAACAGCACCGACCTTCTCCATGAGGGAATCCAAAAACTTCCAGTACAAATCACAAGATATTGTGATGCGTGCTGGGAAAAAAAGTGCCATTCACCTGATTACAGCTCCTAGTGAGCTTGTTAAGGTTTTGTATCTTCTGTGACAGGAGACAGTCTCCTTCAGCTAAATCATTTGCATATTTTTAATTAATATGAAGCAACATTAGTATGCTCTTTGAATACTAAGGAAACATTAAACAGAAAAAGACTCACAAGGCCTTTTTTTAACCTCTAAGTATTGATTTAATTTGTCTGTATTCTATCATATGACACTGAAGAGTATGAAGTGGCTGAATTTCTCCTTTATGAAATCACATCCCAAAACTGGAAATGACAATGCAAACAAAAAATGTAGCCACACCAAGACAGAGATACACAGGATATTAATACTTATTCATTAAATATTGTTTAATTATACTTTCTGTAGAAAATAGTTTAACTGAAGAATGAAGCTTCCAGATTTATTATTCAAAGAAAACCAACTCATAGCCCTAAGAGCTAATACCCAATACTTAAAAATAAAACACCTTATAGCTGAGATGTGGATGGCATAGTTCCAAAAATTATGATGCCAGCGACAGTGAAAGGTTCAGATGCACCTACCCAGCAAACAACCAGACATCCACATGCCAGGTAAAAACCCAAATAAACATGGCGACAGCTTCACCCACATATCAGCAGTCCCATTCTACATCAGTTTTTACTAACCTCTGCCTCATGATATGAGTGTTCAGAACTATTTTACCACAATATGAACTAGGAACACTAATTCTCCCCGACTATCAGTCCCCTAACAGCCTGATTTAATTTGAGAACTTCAGAGAACAAAAGCCTTTATCACAGGCACCAATAATAAAGGGAGGTTTCATTTTGGACCTGATTCAAATTTTGTTGAAGCCAGAAGAAATCTCTCAACAAGTTTCAATTATCTTTGTTGTTTAGCAAATATTATGACGCCAAAGCAGCCAAATGTGATGTAACTAATCAATGATCTTATATTCGCAGCACCTAAAGCCAAGACTAGTTAAAATCACCTTAAAACATCCAGCGAGATCATTCAGAAATAGTGTTTGATCAGACTGCATTTACTTTAGTGGATGCCAAGTGTGCAGATGTTAATAGTTCCTAAACACGCAGTTAAGAATCCGGGAACATTTTTATAAATTTTGCATTCAACTAAGCATTAGCTACATCAGCACCTACCCGGATTTTCTACAAAATCACTGAACAACTGCACGTGCCTAGATCCTTTTAAAAACCTGGCTTTGAGCATTTCTCCTGCTTACTTTGAATATTTTTTCGATATTTTTACAAGGCTTAAATTCAAAATGAAGCTTTTCTCTATCTTCTTCTTGGGTAAAATGTAATATTTATGCACACACTCAGAGGCTTAGGCATGTAAAAAACATACAGTGAGACAGAATCACAGAATTAACCCCTGACAAACCACCTGTGACTTAAAGGGGGGAACTTCATAAATTATTCAAGTGCAATTGTAGTCTGCTTGCAGGCAGAATGCTTCTAGATGTTCCAGAAGTGCAAAGCACCGTATCTGCAGTAATAGCATTTTCCATATTGCCCAAAAACATGGTAGTAAGAGGCAAACTACACTGTGCAAAGACACGGATAATGTGGAGACAGGGAGAGAAGCAGGACACAGTTTAACTTTCCCAAAGTAGCTGTCACTTGAAATCGTGAGCCATTTCCACATATACACTCCCCCCACATATGTTTCTTTCCCTGTCTTTAACAGCAGGTGCAAAGTCGAGTCTTAATCTTTTTCCAATCAGTGAAAAAAACTGCATTATCTGCCAACTGAACCAGCACGGACAAATCCACCTGGATCCTGCTGGGAAAACGTGACTGACGTTTAACTTTATTGGTCCAATCAAAAGGAAATCCAGTGTACATCAGAGGTTTTTCAGATGTTAATAAACAATCGTACATGCAACTGAAATCAGTGTGCTTGTCTTTGCCTGCAAATCCTAGCCTTCTGGCAAGTAAACCCTCTCTCAGTGACCTCTATCTCTGACTCCTTTGCAGCCTAGAAAACTGGTTAATTGCCTTTCCCTGTTCCTGTTATTTATGCTGCAGTAGAAACCTCAAGCCAGGTCAGCCCTTTTGCAAGAAGCAGATTATTTCAGTGTAAAGCTCTTTGTGGCAGAACATGACACGACAGACAAAGGAGCAGAAGGTCAAAACAGTGGCATAAGAAGTAAAAAGGCTTTAAGTTAAAGTTGAAGAAGAGACCACTAGCAGGACCATAACCCAGCATCTCCTGGTGGGCTCACTACAGTTGTTAAACGGCTCTGCTCGGTTCCCAATACATAGCTTACGTGCCTTTTCAGTAAATCCATTACAGCTATCATATTTTCCTCATATTATCAAAGAGGGGTCTTTGCAGCATCTTCATCCTTGCCACAACACACAGTCACTCATTCATTTCCATTTCTTCCTTCTCTGATCTCACCTTGGACCCTACCTCCTCTCCAGTTCGAGGCACTGGAGGAAGGCAGGGGAAAAGCATGAAAATGAAGTGAGTCAGCAGTTTCTGAGCAGCAGAATGCACACAGCATTAGTCAGAGGTGATCAGGGTACTCACCACAGTCAGATGTGAATGAGCCCAAGACCACCAAACAACAGACGGGTGAGCAAACTTTCCCAAACACCTGAAAATGAATCACTGGGCAAGGCCACCCCAAGATAAAGTACTTCAGGGAAAAAACGCATTTTCAGCTGCCACATACCAGTGCTGAAAGGCAACAAAGCACACAGGGCACTGTTCTGTCACATTTCTACTTCCCTTACAAAATGCCCACTACAATCAGTACAGCTGAATCAAACAACCTGATGAGACACTTGCCTTGACTGGCATAATGTTTTCCCTCATAAGCGAGGCCCACAGCTGCAAAAGCTTTTCCTGAGTAAAGCACATGCACAGTGCCCTTATATGCACTGTTACCTTCCTGCTCATCTGCTCCCCTATCGGGACACACAGAGAGCAGTAGTAGTGATGCCATTAGTTAGGGAAGTGGTGTTCCACATCATGCAGTAGAAATTTGAATTCTTACAATTTAAGACCAAATTACTAATACAAGTTTTAAGGGCCACAAGTGCTCATTTGCAACGCAAGAATAGTATTGTGCTACTCTCAGCAGTGTCTCCATGCAAAAAGAGATTTGAAGGGGTATTGTTCCCAGTCTTCACTTTCCAGCAATGAAATCAAGGACACCTAAGAGAAAAAACAATCCACCCCTTTCAGCAGGGCAGAGTACAGCTGTAGGATTCTCATCCATCATCTGCAAGAAAGCCTTTCTCCTACAAAACTCTTCTCTGTCATGGTACAGTAAGTCCATTAAACTGTGAGCGATGTACAACCATTGCTCCAGGAGAACACACCTCACTCGAGAGAGATGAACACTGCTTCAGTGCCTCTGCATTTGGGCCGGACAGAGCAAGGCTTACTGTAAAAACAACTCCCTCACCAAAATGACACCTAGTGAGTTTCAAGAAACACAGTTAATTACTGTACTCTGGGCACAGTATTCTCTGTTCTGTGACTCAGAGCAAGTGCTAACCTCTCTCTACAATTTCTCCACTCCTTAAGTATGTTACTTCCACTTTGTTGTGAGGCACTTACTAAAATATGTTAAAGTGTTTGCCAGCAACACAACTAAACTTTACTTAAGAGCAACCTTTATCCATAAGCAGCTTGCAGTATGTCCTCTCTTCTCTGCAGGCTTCCCAAAATATTCTTCCACATGAAACCTGGCCCTGTCATCCATAAAACACAGTTCAAGTTTCATTTTTCGACACAGCTTATTTAGGCATTGTTAATGCTAAATATTAATAGGGAAGAACAAAGCTACACATAACATTTACACGAATTTCTAAAGTGAATAAATAGGTGTTTTAACTCATAGTATTTGGAAAACCACAGCATTGTATCAGATATAAGCAGCTAGAGAAAGAAAATGACAACAAACATTTAGAGCACATCAACTATTCTACTGATCCATGCAGTCAGTCTTTACACAGTAGTCCTGGCATACATAAACAGACCTCTGTACGTTTACACCAATCTTGTCCTTCACATGAGAAGTTCCAGAAAAAAAGGCTGCAAATTTCAGCTTAAGTTGTTTCACAACAGTTTCTCTACTCCACCAGTTTTTAATTCTTTTGCTACTCACTCTAGTGTGAAATCATTATCAGTACAAGCTGAGGCTACAATCGCCTGGTACAACTTCCTGGGCCGGAGGCATCACTGTTTTTAAATAAATGCTTGAGGGTTTTTTTTGTTTGAGAGTTTCTGGCATCCTTCTACCTTCTTGTAAAACATTTTCAGTTTTCCTGTAGCAGCAAGGTTGCTCTCTCCCACATAAGCACCTGCATAAGGTACATCATTCTTAGATGTCTGCACAGGGACTTGGACAACTTTTATAAATGTGTAACAAGGATAAGGACCAGAAGTCTTGGTGTGACATTGCTGAAACAGACTCTTACGCGGGTTGTCTTTTCAGCCATTCGAGTGAGTGCTCACTTGTTGAAATAAATGCTAAAAAGCATTACTTGTTATTTAAATAATGTTCACCACATAGAGTTAGCCGACACACCTTAACTCGGTTCGCGGCCATTATTTAATTCGGCTTAAATATCTTTATGAACAGACGCCGACAGGTGAAAGAAAGGCAGAGCACCTACAACACGTGAGCACATCACCAGGGAGGCAGACTGCCCGTCTCCCCGCCTCAGCTCACGGGCTCCCGGCCGCGGCGGCCGGAGCAGCCGCCACGACCGACCCGCGCCCGTCCGCTCCGGGCACGCCGCGCCCGCCGGCTGTGGAGCGGCGCCTCCGGGGAGGCGGCAGCGAGCGGGCCAGGGCACCCGCCCATTCCCGGGGCAACCGCGCCGCCCGCCCCATCCCCATGCCCATGTCCATGTCCGCCCACGGCCGGCAGCGCCGCGCGGCCAGCGCCGAGGGGAAAGTGGAAGGGGCGGCACTGCCGCCCGGCGCGGCACAGGGGGGCTCGGCGGGGCTGGGCCGCCGTAGCTCCGCCGTTTCCACGGAAACCCCGGCGCGGGCAGAGCTCGCCACACAAAGGGGGCCCGGCAGGCAGCAAGAAAATTCTCGGCGGCCGCGGGAGAAACGGCGCGGGTCCGGGCGGCGGGGGAGACACAGGGAACTTGTACTCGCAGCCCACCGCCCGCCTCTCTCGCACGCCCTGGCGACCGCTGACGGTCCCTCGCCCCACCGCCACGGCGTGCCGGGGGGCGGCAGCGCCAGGGAGGGGCTGGCTCGGGGCTGGTTTTTCCGCCAGGGCAGCACGGAGGGCGCAGGAGGGAGGGAGGACGGCCCCGCACCTGCGGAGCGCGGAGGGCGCCAGGGGGAGAGCACGTACCTGGCGCCGGCGGACCGGGGCACGCGTGCCGCGCTGGGGCGCCGGGAGCGGGCGGCGGCCGAGCCGCACCGGCTGCCACTACTTCGCACGCGGCGGGAGCGGGCGGGCGGCTCGGGCGGGGCCGCCAGGCTCCACCCGCCGGGCGGCTCCACTCCGAGAACAGGGCCCCCTCTCGCCTTCCCTTCCCGCCGTCATCATGTCACTTCCTCCGGGGGCGGTGGGAAGGGGCGACCCCTCCCCGCACCGGCCTCGCCCGCCCCTCGGGGCACCGGCAGAGCGGAGAAGCGCGGCGCGGCCGCGGGAGGGAAGCGGCGGCCTCGGGAAAGGGGCGATGCACAGCGCCCGTCCCCTGAGCGTAGCCGGCGCTGATCGGAGCCGAGTGCTCGTCATCCCTTACCGGGGCAAACTCGGAGTGATGCGCACCTGTGACTGGTGACCCTTCAAGTGGAAACCGAGCAAGCAAAAGGAGCTCCACGGCCTGAATGCTGAGGAAGAAGATAAATGCCGTGACAGCCATCCAAGCACCGAGTACCCTGACACACAATATTCACTCTATGTGACAAAGCAAACATTTGCTGCCAGGTTGTGATTGTGTGGTGAAAGGCAGCTTCCATGAATAGAGAACAGCAGGAACTGAGTCTATTATGAACACCCAAAGCATTGGAAGGTGATGGTGACTGGGAGGACACATCACTGGGACAGCACTGTCAGCTGCTGGGTGTCTGGTTATAGCGGGGCTGGAGGGCGATGAGCTGGATCAAGTAAAGCCCTGTTACAGTCTCGGTCCATACCAGCCATGTATAATCCCTGTTTCCTTTCAGTGTAAAATGAATGCAAATTAAGCACTCGGTTTAACGCCAGTCGGCAACTACTGGCTAGGCATCAGTCAAGTACTGAGCACTTGTACTGTGCGTCACTTGTTTTTTTGGGATTTTATTCCTCTCTCTCCTTTTCATTACATTTCTCATTATTGCTGCTATATATAATTATATATATATTTAATATGTATATTTATATATTATCGTTAGTACTACTGCTGTTAGGGAGCAGCAATAGCAAGGCTGCTGCTCAAGGGAGGAAAAGCTGGAGCTGAGGGCAGCCACACCACAGGCAGTGCATTCACTGGCCAGGTTCACTTTTCCACTACCTGAACAGGGCAGTGGCAGCACAATGCAGCTCCACTGACAGTCCTAGAAAAGATGAAGCAACAAAACAGGTCTCAAGAGTGTACAAAGAGCAGCAGAACGTAAGGCCACAGCTGGAAACAGAGCTACAATACGGTTGAGAAACAAGGCAGGAGACCAAACCAAACGTGCATGTGTCTACTAGGAAGCTCTGACAGGGACTAAAGACCCAGACCTGGGCTTAAATGGAGCTCTGGCCTGTGGGCCGCGTGAGGCTGGGCAGGGCTATCAGGATATAACTGTGCCATCAGTGCCCTGACAGGTTCCTGCTGATGGGGTGTGTTGAGTGTACTGTTCAGCAGGTCAAGATTTAGTCACCTTATTCCCATTTGGCCATGAAGGGAGTTGAATCTAGCTCACTGACCAGTGGTCAATGGTCTAGCTGCTGAGCTGCTACTTGGCGAGAGATTGGTAAAGGGAATTTCTCCAGCCACATTTTAAAAGTCTGATCCTTGGCTGCATTTTGAAAAAAGAGCTAATTCCAGGCAGAGGGAAAAAACTTAAAATCATGAATGAAGCACTTAATTATGAAGAGTGGCTGGGTTTGTAGCACAGCCATGTCCAAAGCATCCCCAACCACCTACTTGAAGCAGCTTTGTGTACTGCATGTACAGATTTGTAGGATATTATTCCAGGGTATTTTACTCAGCATCTAAGTGTTATCCTGAGAGCCAAGGGTCCAAAAGTCAGGCACTCTGATGCTGAGTGTGGTGGTTTCTCAACATGTTTTACTTAGTTTTCCTTGAAACCAAACTCTCTGCAGCTGGTTATTTGTATGTTCTGGTTTTCTGTGAAGCCATAATAAAAATCTGCCCTCTTGCTTTCATTAGTGTTAAGCTGCAGTGGAATGTAATAGGCTTTATGGATGCTTTACACCTGAGAAAACTTTGCACTGGAGAGGCAAATTCTAGTTTTGATACAGTACATCTATTTATCAAAAGACTAACCAGGAATATATGAATAATAAACCCCTCTTATTTAAGTTGAGGATTAAAAGCTAAGTCTTATGAAGCTGCTAGATACCATGGTAATGACTGAGACTGAAAAGCACATAGAAAAAAATACCTCAGTGTTAAGAGCAGGTCTTGTGATGTCCTCACTGAGTATTTTCTAGGTGGTGGAACAAGGAGAATAAAAAGGAATCGGATTCTTTTTCTTTAAGCTCTGTCCTCCAGAGCACTGAATGGAGTATGTCTCAATTTTGGCATTCTTTGTACTGAGTGCACCCTTGGTTTGCACCCTCAGTGCAGTTTTTTTCCTTGCTGGTGGGTATGCAAATACTTTATTTGCATTGGGCAAGATTCAAGAGTTGAGTCAGGAACTTACACCAGGCAATAATGCCTCCCAGCTATCCATCACTGTGTGAAATGGGTGATTTTCAGTGAGTTTCCCTGTAAGAAAGAAACATAACAAAAACATGATAACAACAACAATAACAAACCAAAACCACAAAAACAAACCCCAAACCACACCCCCTCCTCTAGTCCCACTGGTCAAAGTGTGCACTCCAATCAGTGAGGAACCCAGGTATCTCTCATGGCACAAGCAAAATTAACTGCTTGCTGGTTCTCACAGCTAGACCCCAACCCTGCTCACCATGCACACTTTTAAATGACTTGTGAATTTGACTTCAGAAATTTTATTGCAGGCAAAAGCTTGTCTGTCCTGGAAACTTCTGCAGTGCTACTTATGCCAGCCTAGAGAAAAGAGGCAGCACCCTTGGTGTTGATGCTGCCAAACTGATAGGATGAATACTAACATAGGGATATACTGGGATACATTGCCGTGAGCAGACCGAAGAGGTCCAGTTTGCTCTTGCTGCATGTCTTATGGTTAGAATCTCCAATATCTAATAAGGTGTGGGTTATAAAAGGCCTATTTCCTTAATTTAAAAGCATTCATAATGGTCCTCTTCTGTGTAGACTGAGTGTAATAAAGGTGAACTGCAGACTGTTCCTCCATGCCAGCAATAACAGGAAGTCTTTCCTGTACTTGGCTTATCCGTCTTTATGAAAACTGTGGGAAAGTAATTGTGTCTGAGATTTCTGCTGCTTTTTGGGGATTGATTAAAATCTGCTAACAAGGTCAGGCAGGAATTATAGTGAGGATTGATGTGTATAGTATGACTGCACAATCCTTTCCCACTAGGAAACCACATGAAAATATCTATACATAGGTTAATATAGGCTGACAGTTTATCTAAGTATGGAAACCAAAAATGAAAGGTACTGATGCAATGCATTGTTGTAATGAGAGAAGTCATAATGTGGATGCAGGTGTACTAGTTTAAATAGGCCAGTGGAGGAGTGGTGTTTAAAATCACACCCCCTCCCTGTGTAACTAATTTTTCTGGGCAAGTTTTTCTAGTGTGGACTAACCACAACTGTGACACCTGCTGTTTTCTCCTCTACCTCAGCTGTACAGTGGATCCACTGTTTTCATATAGAAACTCCAACTTCCCTTCAAAGAAGCCACATGGTACTCACAAATGGAAACATCTTGTTAAAACTAAACCCTGGAGCCACAGGTAATTTTAGAATAGACTCATTCTTTAATTGAATAGGCATTAGCAAAAGAGCTGTGTGAGACGAGTTACAGGAATTTAAGCTCCAGACTGTCCAATCTGACCCTTTACAAAGTCTAGTCCGTACAGAAATTATACTGACTGAAATGCCAAACCCCACTTCTTTGAACATGTTTATTCTTTCAGCATGCTTTCTTTTCTGCAACGAGTCTACGATTACTAATCAGTTATGTAATTCTTTACAATTGTAAAAGAATACAATTTCTT